CTTTAAACCAAAGCAAACCTTACTTCTTCTCTAATATCCATCCAGTAAGGTACACAGGAAATTCAGCCTCAGCACCTCCTGGAATCTCTCCCCTGCCCGTCCACCAGCTCCTCAGGCTCTGCCAAGGGCACAGTATACCGACAGGGGAGAAGGCGTGGGGAGCAGCAAGGGTACACAGGGGAGCAGGCACTTGGGCTGCTCCAAAATTGGAGTTGTGCTCAAAGGCTGCAAAGTAAGGGTAAGGGGTAGCGGAACTTGAAGATGTTCACAAGTGAATGGTAGGAGCAAATGTTCGCAGGACCTGGGTACCAGAGAGAAGAGAGTCAAAATAGGTAAGGAGAAAAGAGAGTGGTCAAAGGGCCAGAGTTCAGAATAAGATGAAAGACTAGGTGCAGTGGGAGTAACAAAATGAGAGAGTAGGAAGAAGAGGTTGTGGTCAGAACAGCTGTTTGAATTTAAGATTTTAGGGATGGAGAAATTTGCAGTGATGACAGAGTCCAAGAAGTGGCTACGGAAAGGGAAGCTGGGAGGAGGGGAGAAAAGTATTGGGAATGGGCATCCCCATGGACATGGAAGTCACCCAGATTAATGGCAAGACTTGCATCAGGAAGAATGCTTGTGCACCAGGGAGCAACATCTTCAGTGAGGGAGGAGTAAAAGGAAGGCCAATGACCCTGATGAGGACTGATTCCAGGTAGAGTGAGCCTTGAGGGGTGGGAGTTTTGGCAAGTGGGATGAGTAGTCATGGTCTGGAGCAGCAGCAATGGGGAGTTGGGCACCCTCCAGCCCTATCCTCCAACACAGGGATATATGGGGTCTGGGAGACTGAGAAGTCACTACTTAAAAGGACACAGGGAAATTCCAGTTGGGGCAAAAGGTGAAGGGAGCTATTTGGTTAAAAAGTTAAGAATGAAGTTGTTTTTTGTTTTTTTTAAATGAGAGAAAGAATAGTCTTTTCAACAAATAGTGCTAGGACAACTGGACCGCCACATGCAAAAGAATGTAGTTGGACCCCTACGTCACACCACCCACAAAAACTAACTCAAAATGGATCAAAGACCTAAACGTAAGACTTAAAACTATAAAAATCTTAGAAGAAAACATAGGTGTAAATCTTCATTATCTTGGATTAGTTAATGATTTCTTAGATAAGACACTTAAAGAACAAGCAGCTAAAGAAAAAACAGATAAATTGGACTTCATCAAAATTAAAAACTTTTGTGCTTCTAAGGACACTATCAAGACAGTAAAAAGACAACTTTCAGTATCCAGAATGTACGAAGAACTCTCACAACTCAACACTAAAAAGACAAATAATCTATTTTTTTAAGTGAGTAAAGGATTTGAATGGGCGTTTCTCCAAGGAAGATATACAGATGGCCAAAAAGCACATAAGAAAATGCTCAGCATCATTAGTCTTTGTTGCTGTGTGCCTGTGCCATTGAGTCAATTCCAACCCATAACGACCCTATAGGATAAAATAGGACTTCATCCCATAGGGTTTCCTAGGCTGAAATCTTTGTAGAAGCAGATCACCAGGTCTTATCTCCTGCAGAGCCTTTGGGTAGGTTCCAATTGTCAGTCTTTCAGTTAGCACCCAAGGACTTAACGATTAAGCCACCAGGGCAAAATGCAAATCAGAACAACAATGAGATACCACTTCATACCCACTAGCATGGCTATAATCAAAAAGACAGACAATAACAAGTGCTGGCGAGGATATGGAGAAATTGGAACCCTCATACATGTACGTTGCTGGTGAGAATGTAAAATGGCACAGTCACTTTGGAAGACAGTCCAGCAGTCCTTCAAAAGACTGAACATGAATAGATAAACAAAATATGTCATACACATATAATGGGATATTATCGGCCATAAAAAAGAATGAAATACTGCCACAACATGGATGAACTTTGAAACCATCATGCTAAATGACAGAAGCCAGGCACAAAAGACCACACATTGTATGATTTTTTAAATATGAATTGTCCACAGTAGGCCAATCCAAAGAGACCGAAAGTAGATTAGTGGTTGCCAGGGTCTGCAAGGGAGGGAAAAATGGGGAGTCATTGCCAATGGGTATAGGGCTTTTTTTTGTGATGATGAAAATCTTCTGAAATTAGATTGTGGTGATGGTTACACAACCTTGTGAATATACTAAAAGCCACTGAGTTTGTACATGTTAAAAGGACAAAATCTGATAGTACATGAGCTTAAAATTAAGTTAATTAAAATTTAATCTCAATTAAATTTTTCTATTAGGAATGAAGAAAAAAGAAGGGGGACTTGTTCACTATAGTTTAGAGATCACAGACGGCATGAGTGAGAAGCCTTGAAGGGGGAAGAATGGGGATCTGTGTCAGGTAGAGAAGATGAGGGGATACCTGGACAGTGATGTAGGCTGTCAAGGGGCCTGGAAAGATGAGAGGGGTGTCAAGAGCTCCAAGAGCACTGGTCCAGCGGACTCTGGTGACTGGAAGGACCAAGGCATCTCAGGAAGCCAACAGGCTTGGTGTGTGGTTGATGGTGGTTGGAGATAGTCCCAGCCCAGTGACTGAAGGAAAAGAAAGGGTCTCCAAGAGAGGGCACCGAGAGATCTAGAGACGGGAGTTTCTGAGAATGAGACAACTGAGCAAAGCAGAGTGCTGATGGGGAGAGGGAGTTATCCCTCCCTGGGTTTGAATGTGGCTCCCAGATTTAGGTTTCCGAGCATGCAGCAAAGTCCTAAGAATCCCAAGAGAAAGATCAGGTTTGAAAATACTGAGAACCACTGCTTTCTGTCAGATCTTTCTGTACATAAACAAACCAGAGAAGGTTAGATAAATAAGCACAAGAGATCCAGGGCTAGGAGCCAGCCTGAGTGGTTATTTTCCTACTGATGTTTATAGAGAGTTATGAGCTGTTAAGTGGAAATATGGACTATCAGAAACAGAAATGGCAAGTTTGTCATGCATTCAAACAAGAATTCATTAAGCATCTATACACACAGGCATGGAGCTTGGAATGCTGGAGACAGAGTCAGCACCTGCCTCCAAGAAGTTGTTGGCTAGTGGGAGAGATCATCATTAAGCAAATAATTACAAAATAATTTATTACAAACATACGAGAACAATAAGGAAAAGAATAAGATGTTCTGATTGTATATAATAGGAATCTAATGGGGCCTGAGGGTCAGGGCAAGTTTCTCTGAAGAAATGGCATTTGAGCTACACACCAAAGAGGGTGGGACGAGAGAGTGGGGCAGGAGGCCCTGGGGCAGGAGGGAGCTTGGCTTCCTGGGCAGAGGACTAGTTGGAGTTAACATGTGAGAGACAGAGTGTGGCAAAACATGATAAACAGGCAGGAAGAGACAGATCGTGCAGGGCATTGTGGGCCATGCTGAAGACTCTGGGCTTTATCCTAAGAGTGAAAGGAATAGAGAGAAAGTAAGCAGGGGGACAACAGAGCAGCAAGAGGGGGCAATAGAGTGGAGCAGTTAAGAGCATAGACTCTGGCCCCAACCACCTAAGTTCAAATTCCAGATCTGCCACTTACTACCTGTGTGACCAAGGTCGAGCTATCTAACCTCTCTATGCCTCAATCTCATCCTCTGTGAAGTGGGATAATACTAGTACCTACTTCAGTAATTTGTTATGAGAATTCAGTGATGAGAGTTCCTGGCACAACCTAAGTAAGGAGGAAGCTGCTCGGGAAGGAGGAGGACTTTTGGCTGTAAGTTGGGATCCTGGAATGAGGAATTCAACCAGAAAAAAAGGCTATGCTGGACACAAGTTTCTCTAAAGATCTAGCTGCATATACTTTACACTGTAGTTACATCATCTTCCTTAGCAAGGCACAGGGTGACAGGGTCATTTTACTTGTTTTTGAAAGGGGAATATGCCTCATCCTAGGAAGGCATTAACTTTCCCCAGTCACCGCTGGGCAGGGCTGAATTCCCAGCTGGTGGTACACCATCCCCCTACAACCTCTAGCCCCCATCTCTGAGGGAACAAAAAGCACATCATTTAGAAAGGCATTTGGAGAACTGCTTTTGATCTTCCCCCCTCTGCTCTAGATCTAATCAGAGCCCCACACACTTCTTCCTGCAGTAGAGTTCCTGGAGGGGACAAAGGCTCAGCTGTCTGGGCCTGGCCGAAGAGGCTCAGTGTGGGCTCAGCTCAGGTCCCCACTTGCTCCGGGCTGTGCAGCGCTGGTGCAGGCCTCCCCCTTCCTGAGCAGCTTTGCTTGGCCTTCTTCTCCAGAGACTATTATTTTGGGAGAGTGCTGAGTTCAGCACTGCTGCAAGGTGCAGTTGGAGGCACCCTTCTGTCCTCAGCTGGCCCTTCAAGAGCTGGCCTCGAGGCTGGGCCTGCCCAACCCCATGAACAGCAGCCCCTCCTACATGGGGGCACAGTGTCCAGCCACAGCCACCCATCAGACAGCAGTGTGGGCTTCCCAGAGGCTGAGAGAGGTGGAGAAGGAACTGAGGGCTGGAGAGGGAGCGCCTCTCTGAGGGGCATAGCCTAGTAAACCCCTACTCCTAAGAGAATAACTGAAGCAGGGCTCTCATGAGCACCCCCAGCACCTACCCTCAGGCCCTATGCCTGGGGTCAACAGCTTCCCAGAGTTTGCCTTAAAGCCAAAGGAGCAGGCTGGCCTTCAACTAAATGACCACCCCTGGGGCAAATGCTGGGGGCAGGGCAAGGAGCTACACTAAGAGGCTTATGTAAGTATTTCTGCTCTACACTGGCAGCCAGGACAAGAGTGACAGCAAAGCCCTTCCCTGACAGGGGAGGTGCCTCAGCCAGGACTGCAAATTGAGTCCAGCTTGGAGTGGGCCCAGGTCCTCCTAGGGTATTTGTGTCCGGTTGGCAGATTAGCTGCTGCAGCCCCAAGCAACTGCCTGCCTTTCTCCCTCTACTTAGCAGAGGTCTCTTCCCCACCAGGTGAGCCCCTGGGAGAAGGGAGCTCCCTGCAGAGGGGATCATTGGCTCTAAAGGCTCCTTCTGTTTCAGGTGCCCATGAGTTCAACAATGAGGCTGGCCACAGCAGTCCTGTTACTGGGTCTAATCATGGTGGTCACTGGAGGGGAGGAAGAAAATGATCCGTGTGTCTATGAGGCCATCTCCAACGATGACGCCCTCTTGTGCAAGTAAGGAAGGGTAGTCTGGGACAGGAGGCAAGATGGGTGGGTAAAAACTGGAATTGAGATCTCAGACAGGGGGTCATTTCCTTCTAGACCAGCTTTGGTGGGACAAGTAGAAAATATGTCAGGTCGGGAGACCACCTTGACCGAGCATTACATTGAGCAACAAATTTTGTAATAGACTTCTACCTTCCAGATGACAGTTCTTCCAGACCCAGGAGGACTGTGAATGGCCAGCTCTCCCTCAGGCCATGCAAATCTGAGTGGCCCTGTGGATCTGGCTCACCCTCCCTGCTGGGACTGAGGGCCACAGTTCAGAGGGAGACCAGCCCAGAATTCTCTCTCCCCCACAACAAAGTGACATTTTAAACGTGGAATTTGAAAGACAGTGTGTGCTCGGACCCTCCCCAGTTGAGGGATTGCTGTTTGTTTTCTGGTAATAGGCCCCAGAAGTGTTTGGAGAGATGGGCCTTCTAGGGAGTGTGGCTATTGGATGGAGTTCAGTTGAGAGACAGGCATCAGAGGGCAAACCTTTTCCTTTTCAAGAGTATAATTTTCTCCCAGTCTTTGTCAAAAACCCTGGAGTTTATCTCTTTCCTCACCAACTCTGTTGGTTAGAAAAGCAAGTCTTAATTTTCTGGGTCATCTTGTGGGTCATCCCCAGTGTTTCCTGATCCTCTTTGCTGCTAACTCCTTTCTGCCAGTTTGGTGGCTAAGAAGGTTGACCCCTACTGAGACCATCTTTGAGAAATTGGACAGAGGGAGGAAGAACTGTCACCTTCGTTCTTCCTCTGTATCATTTGAATTCTCCCAAACATTACCTTTAGAGCAATAAATAAATATTTTCCCTTTAAAATTTATGCAGTTGAATCCTTAAAAAAAAGTAACACATATTTCACTCAAATCGTACATTTTGTGAATGAGCAAAATGACTTGGACGCTTGTCTGAAATTTTAAAAGCAAAGAAATTTATTAAGGATCAAGACAATTGCAGTTGGGGAGCTGCATGGTCCACCAAAATGAAACCAAACAGTCTGGGCAGAAGCACCACATAAGCATTTTTAAAGGGTTGAAAGAGGAACTAAACCATACGTTAAACACTTACAGGAAAACTAATGAATATTGTAATAATCACACTCTGGTTGGATATATGTTAAACAGTTACAGTAAAAGTTATACATATTGATAGGCATTACAAGAAAAACTATGAATATGCTAAAACATGTTAAGTAGCTTGAGCAAAGAAACCACAATGAATTTGCTTTTTATTTCTGATTGGCTGATACTTTATAAGAGACCACAAATTTTGGTAAGGGCTTCCTTGGAACAAGTTGTAAAACATATTTTCTGGGAACAGTAAAGTAGAACTAAGTTCTGGACAATTGTCAAGAGGCCAAGATGGATTCTGGCCTGTACTTTAGACAGAAGCCTTTGTCATGCCAAGCAAGCATTAAACAAATAACAAGTAATAAAATGGATTCTGGTTTTATATCAAAGCTTAAGATGGGTTAAGGTCCTAGCTGTATAAGTTGCAGCTTTCCACAAACCAAGTGCCTAAAGTTTTAATCTCTTACTCATTCCGTCCTTTTGATCATAGATTTTGTTGTTAAAAATCCTTTGATCACACTTAGGTTGGTGTACTTTCTTCTGCACAGGCTTAGGTTATGATTCCGTCATGCTATTCTCTAGTGGCTGTTTGGATTAGCAAGCATTTAAGACCCCAGACACTGTATCTCTAATAGCTGGGCACCACTGGTAACTTTGTTGCCAGGCAGCTCTGGTAAACATTGGTTTCACTATGCTTTGCCGTAGCACCCAGTCTTCAATGATCGTCCTATGAAGGTGAGTATACAGTTGGGCCACATTAGAGGAATTGCTTAGTTTGTGGTTTAAGCTACAAACCTTAAAGCAGGAGCTCAAGTCCATCCATAGAATATGTCTTATCTATACACATAATTCGCTTCATGGGCAACATACTGGCATTCTTA